CTAGATAGGGCGCTATATCAAATGTTGTATATTATTATTATTACTACTATATAACACAGTAAACGTACACATTTTAGCGAAAACTGTAATTTAGCACATTGACATACGCTAAAGTATGACTACTTAAAGTTGCTGTATATGTGAATTCATCAAACTATTCAAATTCAATACTACGCTAAAATCAAAGTGCGTTAAAATAAGCATGTTTACCGTATATCAACAAACCAGATCCGTCATTAAGTTCTGTATGCTACTTATAATTCTTGGTTGAATTTGATGAAAAAAAGGTCACAAAGACGATAACAAATCTATTTTTATTCACATTTCATTCCATATGTACAATCCCCAGAGATGCTGTGACTTTTAATATGTTTAACTCTTACACAGTATGAAATTAATCAATTTGGGGAGACAATATGTACGGTATAACAATTACTTATTATCAATATACACACTTATGAGCAAACAACTTCAAATATTATTTACAGAATGTCGTAATAGTTTCCTGTATTATGATTGGTGTATAACATTTCTAGTATAAAACCCATATTCAACTAGCAGCGAATTTACAATACTTTTCAAACATTTCATATGTATCGTCATTAATAAAGCTAAACCAGCAGAGTCACAATACAATATATAGCTTACATACATGTACGATTGTCTACAAAATTATTATATCAATTCACAAATGGACACATAAAACTAGTGTTACACAACAGTATAAGCAATAGTCATGAATGTAGCTCTGCATAAAAGTTATGTTCAAATGATGATACGATCAATTGCGTTTTATTGTTAACGTTTATTTCTTCTAGTATTAATGCAAAAGCCATGACAACAATCTCTCACAATTAAACATAGTTTTTTTAAAAAACTAAGTCGTCAACATGTCCCTTGCATATGTTCCAGCCAATTGTGTATGTGAAACGTATTTGCTTTTCATCATGTTTGTTAATAGTTTTAATTGTGTTTTTGCTGACACTTCTGTATGATGTTTTTTTTTTAAAAAGAATTCCACAACAAATTAATAGGGTGTTAAACTATTTATCCATGTTTTGCTATCATATAAACATGTTCAGTCAAAAAAGCATGTCTTTTAGTGAAACAACTATACACATAGCAGTGATTATAAAAATCCACAATAACTAATAGGGTGCTTATTTATTTATCCATGTTTTGCTATCATATAAACATGTTCAGTCAAAAAAGCATGTCTTTTAGTGAAACAACTATACACATAGCAGTGATTATAAAAATCCACAATAACTAATAGGGTGCTTATATATTTATCCATGTTTTACTATCATATAAACATGTTCACTCAAAAAAGCATGTCTTTTAGCGAAACAACTATACACATACACGTAGCAGTGATCAGTAAAATCTTGTGAACTCTTAATGTTTACGCTATGAATTGATTCATGTCAAGGTAAAACTTTAAGTCTTATGTTACGTAAATAAAACCACACCAAAATCTGACAAAGAAACCATTGGGCCCTACTGTTAAGCTTACAGAAGGTAAAAGATTGGCTTTCCAATCGTAGTATAAGGAAAGAAGTATTTTCATACTGTTTGTATGCTATCCGTTTTTTGATTCACTACAAAAAGGATGTTTGTCCGTAATGCTTACGGGTATATCACTAATTCATACATTTACAACATGATGGAAGAAGGAACAATACCCATTTCGTGTGCTTGTTGTCGGTATATCCTCTGAACATATTATCTACCAGCGTACATCTGCAGTTCTGGCCGCAATGTCGTAATTGTCTAGGTAAAGCAAAAGAAAACACATTTTGAAAACAAACCCAAAAATCATTGGTAAACAAACATAGTTTAAACATCAACCAATTTGATGTCGGCAGTGAAATCATTGGCATAAGTAGCCGTAGAAATACTAGTCAGCTAAAACTTTGAAAAGTCATAAAATATCTAGGAGAAGTATTTAAAGTATTAAATACGTTTAGACATTAGTATAGTTTGGATTATGAATTATGCTTCAATTATACTTACGTGCATTTTTCTATCGGATACACTTGTCCAGGGGCCAAGTTGTATTGTGTTCCATTTAACGCTGTAACATGTCGTACCATCACAAATTGCGGTTTTCTGAAAAATGTAAAAGTATCTTTCTTTTTATCTATTTTATATAGCCATACAGTCAGGATTACTTGGAACCAATCATGTCGTGTCAGGTAACCATAAAAAGCATGACCCTGTTTCCGGAGAATGGCTATATCAACATTTGGTAAGAGAGTTTTGTATAAAATCTGCAATATTTACTAAAAGAAATCAACCCGAATAATGTTGCTTTCCAGGTTAATGTATTGCTTGAAATGCATCTGTTTTTAACCATGTCTTCAACATTAAAACGCATATACGTTGAAGATTATACAATGTACAACGTAAACACTGTTCCGTTCAAACATATTCCTTGATGCGTGATACATCCTGTTGCATACCAACATAAATATTAAAAAGATTTTTTTTATTATATTCCTTATGTCTACGTCCGGATCAAGAAATAAATGTAATGTAATATATAGCAAATATTAAATGGTTACTCGTTGAATACCGTATATTGTTTCACAAGTGCAAAGCAGCACCCGCACGATATCGGTATTCTGTCATATCGCTGAATTATATATGGTATTTAACGGGGAAATCATTAAATTTGTAATTCATTACATTTTAAAATCAATGTCATCAGCTTCGTCAACAAAGTAAGCGAGATTTATCTTTGGCGATATATGTTCATGACGTCACGCTTGACAACAAGGCTGCGCACCATTGTGAATGAGCTATAAAAAACAGTTTTACCATTTTCTACTTTTAGATGGTCAGATTTCTTTGCATGAATGGTATCAATCGTAAAGGTAAATTATTACCTTGGTGAATGTAGCAAAGATGTACCAAATTAACCACTTTTTCTGCTGTCGCTGCATCTGCAGCTGAACTGAAAATCTGCGACTTTGAATGATGCGAATGTAAAATGTCGATCTGATTGGTCAATACTTTTGAAAGATATAAATTCATAGAATTCGATATCACACTGGTTTATTGAAAACTGGATATATTCATATGTACTTACGATTCGCAACATCCATTGTAGTGAACACTCGTTAAACACATATCCCCTGTGCGGTTCTTACAATCATCATCAGACACGCCTTCACTTCGGTTAATCCAACGGTAACTGAGTTCTTCACGCAGCTTCTGGTCTTCGGCAGTAATATAAAATCCCTCAAGATGTGGATTTGTGCTACAGAGACAATTAAATATTGGGTTGTATATCAGTACAGTTTACATAAATTCATTATGTATATACTGTATGATGCATTCGCATTACCAATATACCTGTTTAAACTTTACTTGTCATGACTTCACCCTCTCCCATATCACTGACAACAAAAAAAGCGTCTGTGCGTTTTTGGAAACTGTTTTCCAGCATAAGTTTAATTTTAATAAATCATCTCTGAATAGTAAATATATATCGCGGGACTTGTATGAAATATAAAAAAAAAGTTGAAAAAAAGAACCGACATCGGTGTTCTGTGTGTTACATAAGTGATAAAAATGCAAGAGAGGCAGACAAGGACCCTGGACATTATATTGTTATACTGTCACTCTTACTAACCTAATACACGAAAGTATAATGGCCCAAGTGCGCCAGTTATATTGAAAACGAAGTTGATAGGAAGTTGCAACCCTTAAAGAAACCACATTACAACTGTCGATTGTTTTATCTGCAACAGAACAGGGTCCTTAAACATTACCAGAGTATACACGTACATTGTTTCATAGTAATCCACCGTACATCTCAATGTCAATGAATTCCGGGGAGAAAAAAAGATCATTTTATACATAAAAATACATATTATTAATTTATGAATCTAAGTAAAACACATATTATCATCTCTTGTTTATATGCAGTTTGCGCTGAGCCCGATTAATAGTTACACACACATATATATATAACCGCTTTGCATTCATGTATAATTGTCTAGTACGCGTTCAGTATTTAGGTAAACCAATGCATAATTAGCTGATAAAAAATGTTTAGAATCGTTTCTTCATTCTCGGTACGTACAACTCCTTTGCAAGAAAGATATACATTGTATAAGGTTAATTTGTGATAATAAGAAATCGTTAAGAGAATTTCGCAGAACTACAGAGTCGAGTAGAGTTAAGCTATTGTTATGTGCCTGCTGCTACTTTTTGCGACAACAGTAATACGCAAAAGTGTTATATATGTAAATTAGTGTATATATTTACATTTGCATGGCATTGCCACTATATAGCCTCTTTGAAAGCTGTGTCGTTGATGGGACTTTAATTCCCATGTAGCACGAGACATAATTCTTAGCGTATAAATACAACACTGACCGGAACTACAATATCCAATGTAAATAAACATGACGGCTGCTCAAATATCGCTAGGCATTGTGAAATTTAACAATGTCATTGTAAATTTATGTTCAAAATAAAAAATACTTCTATTGCAACAAAAGCAAGACCAAGGTCTGCAATATCGTACAAAATGCACATCGGTTGAATCACCAATACCGGCAATGGAAACAATTTTAACGCTCATGCATTTTTTCAAAAATATCGTCTGTTACACTGCACTGATCGACAGGGGTTCGTTACAAATGTCTGAAATACAAATATTTTATAGACCTACTGACACATATGTTACAGACATACTGATATGAGTGTCAGCACACATGAACATTTCAGACATTTGTAATGCACCCCAGCTGTGCTCCGTCGCAAGATCACTCACTTTCAACGCTATCAGTTTCACGCGTCTCGCAGCCACTGTTTCCTCAGTTTCTGACGACATGTCAAATAACGAGGTGTTATAGAATCTACAGACAGTAGTCAGATTCCCATAAAATCAACAAATAAATTCACGTCTGGATTCTTCACAAAATGAGCAAAGAGAAAAGTTAGAATTAACTTCCAAAAATAACTCCCTCGTGGAGGGGAAGGTCGGATTTACGGTGTTCACTGTAATTATCCATGCGCTAAATTTGTTCCGGGGAAAAATCGAAACAATTTCAAATCTTACTTTCAGCTCAGAGTTCTATCGATCAACTTAAATCACCCTATAGACATATCATACGCAATTGTATTGATACTGAATTGTGGGATAACATTGAAGTGTTTGTTAAAATTTCAAAGTACTACTTTGTTTGCCAATCAGCACGCGACAAACACGCTGTTCAAACTATTGAACGAAATTGTGTGGACTGTCGATAAGGCGGGCATTTTAAATTTTAGATATAAATTATAAGTTAAAAAAGAACATAAGAGGCAGAGAAAACGTAAATATAAGTATTGACCTGTTTTTGTATAGTATTTATGATCTATTTGAATGATACAGCTTTGCAAGCAAACAAATCATAATTATGTTGTTTGCTTACAAAGCTGTGTCATTCAAATAGATCATAAATACCATACATAAACAGTTTAATGCTTAAATTAGAGAAACAAATCTAACAAGTAAGACTAACGTTAGACACACGCGGGCGATAGCTTATTTAGAATTCGGTATTATATACAGTATACCTAAAGGTGAATTACACTGTACAATACACATGTTTCGTCCTTCTAGGACTTATCGGTGGTGCTAGTGGCAAAAACGTTGGAAATCGAAGTTCTTGCCCCAACCAATGTTGATACAGAGGGAGCGGTGCGTAAAATCCCTTTATTATATGACTTTCAGAAATAAGAGGAGTACTGGTTAACTTTGGTTATACATACAGTATTCCAAAATTGAATTACGAATGTCCATGCAGCTTTTAATTTCATATATACTGACCAAACATGATTTTTGACTGGGCTAATTACATAATATTCGTAAGAAGTTACCTGCACTCGACAGGGTCATCACGTTCTGCTATCTCCAGACCAACAAACACGGTGAACATTATCGCAAGTAGCACTATCGATGCCATAGCAATGGCTCCACCCTACAAAAAAAAATAAAAAAATATGATATATAGTCAAACCTGGTTAGGTTGTCACCTGCGGAATATCATAATGTTGATTGCATAATCAAGGCGTAAATAAATTACAGAACAGCAAATACTTTATAACTGTAATTAGTACGTTTATAAAGAGCAACATTCATTTAATCCATTACTAATCACATGTCTATGAAAATATTTTAACATGTTACATTTACATAAATAGTATAATCTCCTACAGATGTAGAAGTGAAATATATTTACTATATTTGTTTTAATTTTGGCACAATTCATTATATATTTTAACATTTAGAACCACTAAAAGATTACTGCTGACTATTTTAACCATACACGTATTTTTAGAATAATTACTCCTGTATTAATAATTTTAAAAATAAATCTGCAATGTTGGCAATTTGGCTTTAAATCCTGGATTGTTGACGTCCACTCCTTCATTTATCGTCCAAACGCAAGATATTTTGTCTCTTTAAAAACGATGTGAAATGATACAAAGTTGTTCAGTGCGTACTTTTATCAATTATATATTGTTGAAGTAATGCATGAACCGTTTCCCTACTCCAATGCATTAGTCATTTGTATGTAGAAGTCTAAATACGTTTTTTGAAATCATAAGAGATTGTTTAATGATGTTTTAAATGATCAATAAATAAAGAAGATATTTATATCTAACAAAAGCAAATCATGATTAAGCGTCAGTGTCAGTGTTATCGTAGAGGATATAGCACAGCTTTGTTCTGTCTTTGTTGTATGACTTACACGTAAGATGGTTGACCTTGAACTCCACCAAGCTCGTCCTGCATCATTACTTTGATTACTCATTTAAAAAGTCTGCATTTGTTTCTCAATCTGAGTAAAAACAATTAATACGGTATTGCGTTTTCAACACAACAGTTATTCGAAAGCTAATTAAAAAACTAAGACAAAATATGAACGAAAGAAAGATTTACAAAGGCTCCCTTGAAGACCAACAATGATAATAGACCAGGCGTTCTGGAAGTGTCTTCTGCTTTATGGGCAAAACTCGCCATGTGAATCTAGTTCAAACACAAAATATATTATCTCCTCAAAGCGGGAACTGGAAAGCGGCAAGGAATATAATCGCAAAATGAAAACAAAACTTCCTATCACACCCTGTTGTCATACATTTTGTTATGAAAACACTAAGACCATATCTTCTACACAATTCAGTGACAACCTTGCTACATTTTGTAACTATCCTTTCCCAAGTGATGCTCGAACCCCACGTGTATTTTATACATCCTTTAAATGTAGGTATATATATGCGGTTTAACCCCTTCTCTTTATTCGTCTTGTCGTCGACAAGCGACGTTATGGACATAAAATCAGGTAAAAAACGGTCGAGATCAATAAACCATTTCAATGTTGGCAATTTGTCTTTGACGACTATACTTGTACAAATGTACTGTGAATTTTATAAGAACAATGTTCTTCAGCAGCTGATATCAGTTACGGATAATCTTTTTTCGTAAATACTGCACTGCCTGTACCGCGTAGAAATGGTGTATGACTATAACAATGGTCCAACTGGCAAGCATATATCTCTGTTAGTTTTCCAGATATCACGTACGAAGGTCAAGTAAGGGGTAAACAAAGGTAACAGGGACAAACTTAGATGAATTACTATAACATCGATCTCAGTAGAAAGCATATATACAAGCAAGATATAACAATTGCTCGGATAATTCTAATGTCAAGTTAGGGGTCAGCATTTTATTTAATAATGTTGGAGTGGTTTACGTTTTACAATAAAGTGTATTGTTAAGAGCATGTAAACAATTATCATTTTATCGAATCAACACAGTCATGCAAATGTTACGATATTATGACACCCAATGTTGAGGGGGTTCAATTCTGTTTGTGAGGCCATATTGGAGGTCACACTGGGACGACATTCCACATATGGCTGTTCCCGCCGATCTAGGTTAGCTTTGTTAAACTACGTTTTGCTCAATGGTATACAATAACGAAGCTTATTCATCAGAGGATAGGTCTGTTTCGCATCTTAACAGACACAGCCATTACAATGTTCACGAAAGTAAATGTTAAAGGTATATTGAAACATTTTCAACAAATCATATGAAACAAAATATTATTTGTGAAGTTTTCAAAGGTTTTAAGTTCACTTTTCTACTAATATAACTATGTGAACGAAGGGATTTTGTTTCCCGAACTTGCAGTACTTTGACCGGAAATTAATTAAAGAGATTTAATTCACCTTTTACAGGAAACCAACAGACTGAAGTATCATTTCGACAAAACAATGCGAAATCGACCTTGAGCAATTGTAAAGGAAATGAAATATATGCAGTTCCTCTTTATTATACATATTTAAGGGGATTTTTTAATTCATTCTGTACTGTTAATCTATTGTGCTTTCACGCTATAATAATTTGAGCTATAGTATGTGCATACAATGTATTTTTCCGCATGAAAGGAAAGAGGTTTTGAATAGATTTGACAGGGCAATGTTACAATCTTGATCGTACAATCACCGCAAACATCACCATCACCACCATTACCACCATCAACAACAACAACCCCCGATCACGAACTTGCAGTACAACACAACCACCACCACCAACAACAACAGCATCAACAACAACAACAACCCGATCACAACCACCACCAACAACAACACCACCACCACCAACAACAACAACACGACCAACAACAACCACCAACAACTCCTCCGCCAACACAAACAATACCAACAGCACCACCATCACCAGCAACATCAACAACAACAACAACAACAACACCACCAACATCAACAACAACAACAACACGACCACCAA